CCTAACTGCTTCTGCCTGCCAGCCTGATCACCCCCTAACCATTTCCCTGCCAGCCTGATTGATGCCTAACTGGTCCCCTGCCAGCCTGATTGCCCCTAACTTCCCTCCCCTGCCGGCCTGGTCACCCCTAACTACCCTTCCCTACAGGCCTGGTCCCTTCCAACTGCCCTCCCCTTAAGCAGAGGCCAGGGCAGGCCAGGAAGCATGGCTTCCTCCATCACTGGGGACAACCCAAGCCTCCTGCTCTCTCCAGCTCCGTGGTTGCCGCCATTTTTGTTGGGACTTATTTATCTTCTATAATTGAAGCTTTGCAACTTTGAACAGAGGTCAGGGCCAGCCAGAGCAGACAGGAAGCCTGGCTTCCTCCATTGCTAGGGAAACCCAAGCCTCCTGCTTGCTCCATGACTGCAGCCATCTTAGTTGGGTTAATTTGCATACTCGCTCCTGATTGGTTGGTTTGTGAGCATAGCAAAGGTGTGGTCAATTTGCATGCTTCTCTTTTATTAGTTCAGTGTTTCCCAAACTTTTGACATATGTGTACCCCTTCTATAATTTTCGTAACGCTGAGTACCTCTCGTACTCATGAGAACGTAGAATTAGGCACAGCTAAGCACGGTGCAGTGCATATCCCCACCAAACTCCGGTGCAATGCGTACCCCCACCAGACTCTTCCCATGCCCCTGGGGGTACTTGTACCACACTTTGGGAAACACTGGTATAGATAATAAAAGCCTAATATGTTAAGTGTCCAGTTGTCCAATTGTCCATTCAACCAAAGCATAATATGCTAATGATATACTAAGACCACTCAACGGCTCACTATGATGTGCAATGACCACCAGGGGGCAGACACTTCAACTGGTAGGTTAGCTTGTTCCTGGGGTCCAGCCAATCAGGATTGAGCATGATAGGTCGGACACGCCCTGGAGCTCTCCTGCAGTTCCGCCCCAGCTGGCCAACCTCCCGCATCCTTCCCTAGCCCCGATTGTGCATCGGTAAGGTCCCTCAGCCTGGCCTGTGCCCTCTTGCAATCTGAGACCCCTCAGGGGATGTCCGGTGCACAAAATTCGTGCATGGGGGGGTGTCGCTCAACCCAGGCTGCACCCTCTCCAATCTGTGATCCCTCTCACAATCCAGAGCTGTTTTCAGCCCAATCCCACAGGCCAGGCTGAGGGTCCCCACTAGTGCACAAATTCATGCACTGGGCTTCTATTTTTACATTAAAGAGTAGAGTTAGGGTTGGGGCAGGTGGAAGTGTCTCCTTCACTTTGCCCTCTACCACGGCAGTCGCAGCCCAATGCCAAGCGAGCTGAGCAGCCTCAGCTGTGAGCAGAGTGGCGGGACGATACCCCCAGGAGATCACTAGACCACCTCTTCTTGCGGCTTTGCCATGATGACCTACGGACAGAGCTGCATGCAGCCAATGTGTATTCCTCCATCATATGCTGACCTTGGCAAAGCTACCAGAGATATTTTCAACAAAGGATTTGGTTTTGGATTGGTGAAACTGGACATGAAAACGTCATGCAGTGGCATGGAATTCTCAACATCTGGTTCATCTTCAAAGTTATTGGAACCTTGAAGACCAAATATAATTGGTGTGAGGTCTGACTTTCACAGAAAAATGGAACACTGGTAACACTCTGGGTACAGAAATCACAATTGAAGATCAGATTTGTCAAGGTTTGAAACTGATATGTGATACCACCTTTTCACCAAACTCAGGAAAGAAAAGTGGTAAAATCAAGTCTTCTTACAAGAGGAAATGTATAAACCTTAGATGTGATGTTGACTTTGATTTTGCAAGACCTGCAATCCATGGTTCAGCTGTCTTTAGTTACGAGGATTGGCCTGCTGGATACCAGATGACCTTTGATAGTGCCAAATCAAAGCAGGCAAGGAATAACTTTGCAGTGGGCTATAGGGCTGGGAACTTCCACTTACACACTAATGTCAATGATGGGACAGAATCTGGAGGCTCAACTTATCAGAAAGTATGTGAAGATTTTGACACTTCAGTAAACTCTGTGGACTTCAGGTACCAACTGCACTCGCTTTGGTCTTGCAGCTAAATATCAGTTGGATCCCACTGCTTCTATTTCTGCAAAAGTCAACAACTCTAGTTTAATTGGAGTGGGCTACACTCAGATTCTGAGGCCTGGTGTGAAGCTCACACTGTCTGCTCTGGTAGATAGGAAGAGCATTAATGCTGGTGGCCACAAACAGAGGCTTGTTCTGGAGTTGGAGACTTAATCCAACTGAAAGCAACCTCTGGGAATGGATATCAGATGATTTGGCCTTAATATATTTCCAATGTGACCATTAGGCTTTTTTCCCTCCAAGATGGTGATCAAAACAGGATGAGCTAAACAAGACCTGCGTTTTAATATGTATGTAGACAGTTACTTGTTAGCTGGCTTCTAGTTGAATTGGTTATCTAGTTACCAATGTGGCAGTCCTGTAGTCACCTATACATTATTTAATGTATTTAACTGTTAAATGTGCTACCCACCAATAATGAAATAGACCTTTATGAAAACAGTTAAAAAAAAAAAAAGAGTAGAGTTGTAAGACCAAACACAAATTGCTAAGGCACTAAAATTTAAATTAAAGTGTTGGATAATTAACATTACCTAGGAAAAGTCAAACTCTGATTTTTTTAATGTTTAGGGAATTATTTTAAAGGTTATTTTCTTAATACTCAAACTAGCATACTTAAGAATGTGTTAAGGCAAGCCCAGCCTAAATTGTACTAAAAATTATTAATGAATACAGAGAAATGATTCTAAAACCATATTTTGAGTATTTTATCATAAAAAAAAAAAAACAACAAAAGCATTAGGACTAATTTTGTGCCCTGGCCAGGTAGCTCTGTTGGTTAGAGCATCATCCAATACACCAAGGTTGTAGATTCGATTCCCACTCAGGACACATACATGAATTAACCAATGCATGCATAAATAAGTGGAACAACAAATCAATGTCTCTCTCACTCCTCTCTCTCTTTCTCTCTCTGTACCATCCTCACTCTCTAAAATCAATAATTCTTTTTTTATTTTTTAAAGGCCAATTTTGCTGTCTAAAGAGTAAGTTATCAGCCCAACCGGCATAGCTCAATGGTTTGAGTGTTGAACTATGAACCAGGAGGTCATGGTTCGATTCCCAGTCAGGGCACATGCCCGGGGTTGAGAGTCCGATCCCCAGTAGGGGGCATGCAGTAGGCAGCCAATCAATGATTCTCTCATCATTGATATTTTTATGTCTCTCTCCCTCTTCCTTTCTCTCTGAAATCAATCTTTTAAAAGAAAATTTAAAAATAAGAAAATCAAAAACATAAAGTTAATAACATATGGTCATTTAGTTAATGAAAAAAACAATACTGTGAAAGAAGCATGTTTCCAGTCCTCCCCAATCCTCACATGCTATCTTGAAGCAAGGACTTGCCCATCATATATGCAAAGGCAACTTAGAAGTGTAGAATAATGTTTGAGTAGTGTCTTGGAGTGACAGAGAATTCATTTCCTGTATGATTTAAGATAAGACACAACCTCTCCATTCTTACTTGTAAAGTAGGGATGCCAATATGTCCTCATATCATGAGAACTAAGCAAGCACTGGCCAGTGCCTGTAACATTTAAATTATGGTGCCATTTAATACAGTAACAGATATAGGTGTGTGTATGTGCTGTTAGTGTGTGTGTGTGTGTATATATATATATATATATATATATATATATATATATATATATCTCCTAGTTCAGTCCACATGAGAGGACCTAAAAGCACAGTAGCAATGAGCACACCTAGTGTCCAGATCTTCAATCTACTTCTAAATACCATTCTCCTAATGAAAAGGTTCAGGGCTTCTTGGGAAAGTGGCTGTGTCCAAGATTGGGGAAAGGAAAATATTACACTCTACATCTTCAGGTGCCAGGAAATAAGAAAATACTCAATAAAGAATGAGTGGCATGTTGAGAAAACCCAGAAGCCAGCCTGAACAAGGTCCTATGGCCAAAGTTGGAACAATGAGCAGCAAAATAAATAATGGTAATACCAGACTACATCTCACAGAATAAAAAAATTTCCATGGGTCCATACTGATATAAGTAAATGAAAAAGGATAGCTCTTCCTTACATAAGAATTGCATAAAAGAAAATTGGATAAAAGAAAAAAACAGAAAATCACCACTAAGCAAATAATGCAGTAATAACTGTTACAGATAAGATCCACAGAGAAATACTAGAATTAGAAAGGCTGAGGAGAAACAGGATATGTATTCATTACAATGAGAATAATTAATATTAACTTTACAGTGGAGAAATCTGGCAGACAAGGATTAGTTACCTAGTAATAAGATATACTGACATCATAAACACCCTAATATGATGCACTGAGAAGGATATACTATCACTTCTGTACTCTTCTTGCCAAAAAATGCATACATAACCTTATTCTAACCATGAGAAAACATCAGACAAATCTAAGTTTTATAAAACAACTAATCTGTTTTCTTCAGCAGTTCAAGAAGAAGAAACTGAGAAACTGTCACAGATTAGAGGAGACTAACAAGACATAACAAATAAATAGGAGATGAGATCCTAGATTGGATCCTGGAAGAGAAAAAGGACATAAATGGGAAAAGCAGTAAAATTCAAAACAGATCCGTAGTTTAAATAACAGTATTGTACTGTACTAATGTTAATTTGTTAATTTATCAATTATACTATAATTATGTAAATGTTAATATTAAGAGAAAATAGGTGAAGGGCTATGCAAATTCTATACTTGTACTACTTCTCTGTAAGTCAAAACTTATTTCAAAATAGTTTCTAAAGTTCTTTTTAAATATGAAACCAACAGTTACGTAGGGTTTTTTGTTTTGCATTAAAATCATTAAGTTATGCTAACATATCCCTCAATTGCTAAAGCTAGAATACATGCTTCTAAAAAATTTAGCCCTGAAAAATGTAAATAAAACACATGACACACATCTCATTACCTGTAATTTTATATCCATAAGCAGCTAGTTGTCCAGCCATATATTCTCCATCTGAATTATTATGAGAACAACCCCATGTTCGTATCCAAATTTTCTGTATGCCTGGAATAGTGCTATTAAACAATCAATAAAAGAAAAAGTAAGTCTCATTAAAAGATTTTTAAAATAAAAAGCACTAGAGGATTTCTGGGCATATTATGCAAAAATAAAAAATAAAAATAAAAATAAAAAAATAAATATATATATATATCTGTGTGTGTGTGTGTATATATATATTTTTTTTATTTATTTTTATACACACACACACACATATATATATATATACACACACACACTCACTGAAACCCATTCACAAACTATTCATTAAAAGTACTTCATATATAAAAATAGAATTCAGCCTAAACCGGTTTAGCTCAATGGATAGAGCGTTGGCTTGCAGACTGAAAGGTTCCAGGTTCGATTCTGGTCAAGGGCATGTACCTTGGTTGCAAGCACATCCCCAGTAGGGGGTGTGCAAGGGGCAGCTGATCAATGCTTCTTTCTCATCATGTTTCTAACTCTCTATCCCTCTCTCTTCCTCTCTGTAAAAAATGAATAAAATATATTATTAAAAAAATAGAGTTCAAAAATGAAATAGTTTTAGGGGAAAAAGGGTACTTTAACAGGAATTGCCCAGTAATTTATAATTAAACAAAAATTACCTTAAGGACATATTCAGGACAAATATGATAAACTTCAGTCCTTTTTTTTTTTTTTTCAATATATTTTATTGATTTTTCACAGAGAGGAAGAGAGAGGGATAGAGAGTTAGAAACATCGATGAGAGAAAATCATCGATCAGCTGCCTCTTGCACACCCCCTACTGAGGATGTGCCCGCAACCAAGGTACATGCCCTTGACCAGAATCGAACCCGGGACCTTTCAGTCCGCAGGCCGACGCTCTATCCACTGAGCCAAACCGGTGCCGGCAAACTTCAGTCCTTTTATAATAGCAGGAAATTTTAACACCATAGATTTTTTTAAAATATATTTTATTGATTTTTTTACAGAGAGGGAGAGGGATAGAGAGTTAGAAACATTGATGAGAGAAACATTGATCAGCTACCGCCTGCACACCCCCTATTCGGGATATGCCCGCAATTGAGGTACATGCCCTTGACCAGAATCGAACCTGGTTTGATTCTGGTCATGTGCATATACCTGGGGTTGCAGACTTGATCCCAGAAGGGGAAGGGGGGATTTGCAGGAGGCAGCTGGTCAATGATTCTCTCTCATCATTGATGTTTCTATCTCTCTCTTCCTCTCCCTTCCTCTCTGAAAGCAATAAAAGTATTTTTTAATTCAAATAAAAATAAATCTATATATTTCCTCTCAAAAAGTTCAAGCATATTTTTAAAAGAGACATTATGCATATCACATAGACCGGTACTACCCTGGAATATTGATTTTTTTAAAAAGCTTACCTATCACTTGGTGGACTATCTTCCTCTTGCAAACACATTTGGGTTTTTCGCCTTCGGGCCTTTGGAAGAATGTGCTTCTTTGCAAAATGCCTATCTTGTGGCTTTGAGTCTTGCTGTGACACAATATCTTCTATGTCATCTAGTAGTGTATCACAGGATGCAGAAGGCATGTTCTTCATCATATAGAAAAGTTATAAATGATACAAACGTATGAGTCCCTCAGAAAATCCGTTTAATATAGCATCACCTATAAAATATCCTTGCTGAATTTGAATCCAATAAAGCCTTTAGATTTAACTTCATATTTACAGAAAATGCAAAGATAAAGATACACAAGGAAACAATCAAAACAATCTTATTGATAGTGGGACATTCCAAAGTTCATATGGAACTCTGTCTTCAACAAATCAACATCATGGCAGAAAAAAAGCAGAAGAGGAACTGTTAAAGATCAAAGGAAACTTAAAAGCGCAACAACTAAATGCAATTCATGTTCTTGTTTAGATATTACTTTGTCTAACCAGCTGCAAGACACTTGGGGAATAAGTAGGAAAATCAGAGTATGAAGTAGACATCAGATAAGATTAGGATAGTGGTATAAATCAGTGATTTTCAACCTTTTTAATCTCATGGCACATATAAACTAATTAGAAAATTCTTGATCTGACAAAAAATAGGTATAATTTTGATTTACAAAATAATCCTATATAATAAAAGGGTAATATGCAAATAAACCGATGGCAGAACAATCGAACAACCAATTAAAGCATAATAGCCTAAAGATATAATATGCTAAGGCTGCTCAACCACTCTCTATAACTTGCACTGACCACCAGGGGGCAGACAGTCAACCAGTCGACCAGTCCCTTTGGCATGCACTGACTATGTAAATGTTAAGATCCTGGTTGTGATTTGCAAGATATTACCACTGGGAGAAACTAGGTAAAGTATACAGCATCTCCATATAATTTTATAACTGTACGTAAATTTACAATTATGTAAAAAATGATTAATGATTCAAGAAAAAATACTATCTTGAATAGAAAATGAGTACACTTACTGATAGTACTACTACCAATACTATCACCAGGCATTAAGCAAGTGCTCACAGTCATCTCATTAACCATTCCCAACAGCCCCACAAGGAAGACAATGTTATTATTCTCACTTTAAAGATAAATCTGAAACAGGGAGAAGCTAACTTACCCGAGGAAGCACAGTAAGAACTGCATGCCAGATGAGCCTGAGCCCATGCGCTGTGCGACACTCCGCTGACTACTTAAAGTATGTACACTGAATGACTACTGTTCTCATCTGGGCCACCTAAACTACTATTAAAGATCCTATACTCTCTTAAGCTAAGCGAAATTAGCCAGTCAGAGAAAGACAAGTGTCACATGACCTCACTCATATGTGGAATCTAATGAATAAAATAAACTGATGAACAAAATAGACTGAGAGACATAGAAGTATTTAACAGAGAGCAGAATCTCAGAGGGAAGGCAGGGGAAGGTAGGTGGGAAGAGATCAACCAAAGAACTGATATGCATATACACATAACCCATGGACACAGACAATGGGTGGTGAAGGCCTGGGACAGGAGTCAGAGGCAGGCTAGAAGGGGTTAATGGGGAAATAAGGGGACATATGTAATACTTCAACAATGAAGATTAAAAAGAAAAAAAGAACCCTATACTCTCCTCTGATCTCAGCCTTTCTGATGAATTTTCTTTCTCTTTATTTGCGAAATTTTCATCTTTCCATTAACAACTTTCAATTAAGAGTAGCTTCCAGCCAGGCTCATTTTGTGTCCTTTACTGTATGTAGTAATTTACTCTTTACAACTATGACAAATTATGCCCTATAAACAAGACATACTTATGTTCAAATCTGAGCTAGCTTTGCAAAGTTTACAAATAACCCAAGTGGCAATCAATCAAGGACTTGCTAAATTATAGTTAACATGCATACAACATGGTCATAGAGGAACTGTCAATCACAGAACTCCTCTTTCTCTAGACACAGGAATGAGGCACATGACCCAAGCCTGACAGAGTAACCCATCCTCCGGGTCGCAGTGATTTGTTCAGAATTGGATATGACAATCCCTGCCAACAGAATCTTATTGAGGATTTCTGTGCCAGAGTTAACAGTAGAAATGACTTCTCTTTTCACTGAAGTGGTTTAGTTGGAAGGATGATAATTTTAATGAAACTGGAGACCACTTACCACTCACAGGGCAGAAAATTAATAAAAATTTTAAAAAATTAAAATAAAATAAGTTAAAAAACGAAGCAATAAAGAGCCACACTGATATTATTTGACTATCTGGATACAACCAATGCCTGAAGCCTGATGCTACCCAGCTCTGCCCAGTCATGTGAGCCAATAAATTTCTGTGGCTTAAATTAGGTTGAGCTGGGTTTTCTGCTCTTGCAAACAAGAGCATGGCCAACTCAGTGAACTAGATAAGGTGAAATGAATTAAGTTAGTCTTTCTCAAATTGATTCTATTTGAGGTATTAACTATCTGCGAAAAAATGGTTCTATTTGAGGTATTAACTATCTGTGTCAAATTAATTAGGAAATTCTGCCTACTTATAGATTATCAGCATATATTAGTACAGCAAAGACTGCATGCAATAAAGAAACAAGCGCATGAATCTTAGAAACTTTCTGAAAATTTCTCACAGATCTCCTCTTAGTATGGTTAAAAATGGTATTGAAAACAGAAAGCTTGAATGAAGCCGACCTCAGATGCCCTACAACATTCTGCACAGATGGATGACTCTTTGTTTACCCAGAAGTGGTTCTTTGCCCATTTACTCAGCCTATCAGTCTGTTACTAGAATAACTGTCCACCTCCCTAAGAACAATCCTTGTGCTCTGACCTACTCAACAAAGAATTCCAGCAATGTCCCCTCTTCACTAATTGTCTTCCTACTGAATCATTACTATCTGGATATAAACATGCTATTTTTTTGCAATTTAGAAAACAAAAGCTTTATCATGATCCCACTTCCTCCATATACTGTCTCTATCACATTTCTCTCCTTTAAAGAAAAACTTCTTGCAAAAGCTATCTATAAGGCTCTAGCTGGTTTTGCTCCATAGGGCATCACCCTGTGAACCCAGCCAGGTTCAATTCCAGTCCAGGGCACATGCCCATGTTGCAGGCTCAATCCTTAGTGTGGTGTGTGTAGGAGGCAGCCAATCAATGATTCTCTCTCATCATTGATGTTTCTATCTCTCTGTCCCTCTCTCTTCTTCTCTGAAATCAATAAAGACATATTAAAAAATATATCTATACTTACAATATCTAATTTAAAAATATATCTATACTTAAAATATCCAATACTCCTCCTGTTCTCTCATGAACCAGGCTTTCACCCCCACCACTCCAGCAAAATTACCTGTCATGATTTCAATGACTTCCAGAAATATATACAATGATAAATTCTCAGTCATCTCAAATGACCTCATCTGTAGGGCACTACACTCTCCAAGTTCTCCTCCTACGTCATCAGCCATTCCATAAGTCTCCTTGTGGGGACTTTATCTCTGCCAAAGGCCATTTGAATATTTGTAACATCATTTTCAGGCTGTACAAAATTAACAACCCAAAAATTAACTTGCTCTATTTGGTCCAACACTTAATTAACTCACCCTTAATGCTTTTGAGGGCCAGACCAAAAGATTTCACAGGCCTTATATGGCCCTCATGCCAGATGTTCCCCACCCGAGTTATAGGCATACCCTGTTATCCAATCCGTAGCCTTAGAATACCAACTATATATTTATATAACTGGTCCCAGTTCTCCCCTGAACTTCAGACTCATGTGTCCAACTGCATATCCAACACCCTTATCTGATAGTTATTTCAAACTTAAATTATCGAAAAGGAAACCCTTGATCTTCTCCCTACCTTACCCCACCAGATCCTTCCACAATTTTCCTCATCTTATTTAAAGGCAATCCCTGTCTTCTACCTGCTTCTACCAAAAATCCTGGAATCTTCTCCCTAATCCAATGCACCAACAAAACCTTATTGGCTCTGTCTTCAAAACATGTTCATAATCTGATTGGTTCTCACTCTGCCCACGTGTTACATCTGGTTCAAAACAACATCAACTCTTGCCTAGATTATTGACAGTTTCCCTGCTTCTACTCTATTCCCAAAGGACATTTCAGCATAGAAGCCAAGGATCCCTTTAAAATCTAAGTTCAACTCAAGCTTCTGATCAAAATCTTCCAATGTCTTCTACTTTAGAATAAAAAGCCAAAATCATTACACAAATCTGCAAGGACATATGTAATCAGCTTCCTGTTACCTCTCTGACCATAAAGCCTGCCACTCTCCCCATCACTACACTCAGCCATGTGGGCTTCCTCCTAGTTTGTATCTACTACAAGGTACACGCATCTCAGGATTTTATTCTTGTACAGAACATCTTCAAGCCCTTCAGGAATCTGTTCAAATGTCACCAGCGAGGCCTTTATGAGCAACTCCCACACCTCACCATATGTACTTATATTTCCTCTTCACTTCATATTCCCATTGCCTACCTTGTTTTCTTACCATAGCATTTCATCACCAGCTTAGATGTTTTCATTATTTTCTGAAGGTCTATCTCTTTCTACTAGAATACACTTTGTGAGAGTACAGGTTTTTGTGGGCTTTGTTCATTGATTTGTCCCTGGTGGAACCTAGAACTATGTCTAGCATATTGCATATTCTCAATAAATATTTTTACTGTAGACTACCCAGTCTAACAAGGTATGGTCCCTAGCTATTCCCATTCTGTACCAACTGTACTAACCTTTTGATATTCACTGAGTAGGCCAAATTAGTTTCTGACTCAGGGGCCTTCAGAATTGCTATTCCTCTGTCTGGAAAATCATCCCCAGATATCTGTATGGCTTGCTGCCACTTATATACTCCAATGACACCTCCTTGAAAAAGCCTTTTAAAATAACCACCCACTGATCAAGAATTCCACACATTTTCACTAACCTCTAACCATGCTTTATGTTTCATTTTTCTTCATAGAATTAACCTATCTGATACCATACATACAACTGCATCTGTCTTTATCATTGAAGTGTAAACTCTACAAGGACAAAGGAATCCATCTCTTTTTCACCACTGTATCCACACCTATAACAATGCC